GGGCCGGGGGGAGACGGAGCTCCGCTGCCCGCCGCGGGATGCTCCTTGTGTTGCTTCCCCAGCGCCGCCCCTCAGGTCTCCTCCCTCCCGCTGGGTGCGGGTCAGAGCGGAGCAGCAGCGCCGGTGAGAAGTCCACTTTCCCCCTCTCCAGCTCGAGCAGCCTGCGGGGCCTCCGGCAGCAGCCCCAGCCTGGTGGCCCGGTGTGGGTCCTGGCAAGGCCACTTCGACCCCCAGGACGTGCGGAGGCCTGGCTGCGGCTGGCCCTGTGTGCAGGCAGTTCAGCTCTCACCTTTTTTCCACTCACGTGAGTCAAAATTACCCCAAACTTTTAAATTTTAACTTCTCCCAGCTTTGTGCCCAGCCTTGAGCTCCTCTATAAGGCTTCAACTCCCACCTTGCTGCTGATGACTCCCATGCCTAAGGACTTACCTCATCCTGTTTGTCTTCACCCACATCTCAGCCAAACTCACCTGGAGAACCTGGTGGCATTTTGCATACCCTGCCGGTTTTTTTTAATGACTGTCACTTACTGAATCCCCTTATGCGTCACAGGTGATGGAATCAAACCCCAGAGGTGCCTCCAGTAAGAGCAACCTCCTGCGCTGCTTGGTCTTAATGTCTGTCGCTGTCCTGGCTGTGCCTGCGTCCTTTCTGCCACAAGACACTGCTCCTCTCTACCCTCACCCGCTCCCCTCAGAGCACCATGATTTGATCTTTCTCCCCCCGACACCACAATGCTTTTTGCAGACATGTTTTTCCCTATCACAGTTCTCTCATTCAGGCTGTGTTTACCTCCCTTTGCAATTACCCAAATTCATCGTCGCAGGATTTTATGTAGGAGAGTAAACGAGGCACTATTCTGCCATTTTTAGGTCATCTGTATAACTTCATGTGCCCACCTGGTCCTTTTCAGCAGAAGGGTGGATTTTGGTCTCCTGCTTCCCAAGGGCCAGGCCCGAACAGCTAAGGTATTGGCGACCTGGGACAGGATTGGTCCTCAAATCCCCTCCTTGACCCTGTGATCGTGTAATATTAAAGCTGTCGGTCAATACAAGAGAAAAGCTGTATAATTATACATGTCTTAAAGAGCATTCATAAATATACTTCCATATTCATATATATACATAGTCATTTCTATATTGCATTGTGATTTTATGTATTTTCCTTCACTTGTATAACAGAATAGAATATGGATTTTTTTAATTTGAATTCCTATTCCAATAAAAATCCTGCTATGACTCCCACAAGAAAATCTGTCAAGATTAGTTTCAGTGTTGTGATAGTTACGAGTCAGGTCATGTTGGTCACGAATTTCCATAACTTAAAATAAAAAACAAGATTAAAAAGAAAAGAAGCAGAACTATCAAATCCTACACATTTCATCGTATCTGAGTTCCACAACTGTGGTACTACTATCTTCACGTGTAATTTTATTTATCCTATACCTGCAATCTGCTGCCAGTTCTCCAAAGATGGAGAGTCATGTCTGTGGTGTTTTTTGTCTCCATTTCGGCTCAGCTCTTGGAATTCCTTGCTACAGCCACTGCTTTACACCAGAGCTGCTCAGCTGCAGAAGGATTGCAGTCCCGGAGGGGTATCTGCATACTGCCAAAAAAAGAAACAAAGTTATAAGAGTTTAAACAGGCAGGGAGCTCTTTTTAGTCTAATTTATTTAACACACACACACACACACACACAAACACAAATAAATTGAAGGTTAAAAAAAAACAAAGCCAAACACAAAACAAAACCAAAAAACCCAACCGTAACAACAATTTTTAAAAGCGCCCTTTGTTAGACTTTGGGGACTAAGTTCATTTCAGAGTATGATAAACTTTGCTATCTCAGGAGATTTTTATGGCTTGTGGACAACATGGCCATGAATACAGAGATATCTGAGACGTCTAAACACGACTTTGTGTTCAGCTACCCCTGCTCCTGGCTCCTGCTTTTACCACGACTCAGGGTTCACTTCAGGAGTGACCGTGGCTGTGTGTTTCTGTATTTTTGTCAGCCCCTGAGTTTGCCTGGTGTCACAGCGAAGCGTGGCAGCTGCCAGCGAGGCTGCCTGGCTCCAGAGACACCCTCCATTGGGCGCAGAACTGGTGTGATCCCTTCCCTGTGTTGTTTCACCAGTGTAAACTGGGGAGTTTGAGCATCTACGGGTGGGTGTCCTCTTCAGACAGGAAAGCTCTGTTCCCAGTGCTCTACAAAAGTAACTAATGTCACTGGTTACTGTGTCTTGTGTAGGGTGAGTGAGAGCCCAGGGAGCAGCTACAGCTCATCTGCATGCAGGGTATATTTGGATGCGTAACAAGCATCTACCTCTTCTTTGACTTAGAAAAACTGTTGACAAAGAACTATTAGCAATACATTTGTAGAATTCTTTAAAAATGAATTCTTTCTATTCAAAATATGTATCTAAATTTCAAACTACTTGGAAGCGTGATTGAAAGGAACTAAGAATCTACATATTTCTTATCGTTGGTTATCTTCTAGAATGGTGGAAGGATAACTCAAAAGTAGTGGCACAGCTTCTTTTGCTGCTTTTTTTAAAAAAAAAATTACTTTTGAGATGAGAACAAATAAAAGAATTAGCACAGCCATAACAAATGAGACACAGACATAGCTCTCCTATCTTCATCTGCATTCAACACCTTTTTGTTAAACAGTTTTATTTCAGTGTGTCCCATCAGGCTGTTCCTCCTGCTAAGAAAATCATAAGCTTGAGTAGGTAACAATAAAAAAGACATAACATAATTTTTAAGGTGACATCATCTGCTTTAAGTTTCAGGGAACTTAAATTGCAATGCCATTGTATGCCTAGACCCTTTATTGCCTATTACTATAACAAAATGATATTTTCTGCATTTACATTATCAACAAAAGGAAAGACCAAAAATATTGCACAAATTTAACTTAAAATACGAAATTGCAGAAGTGATTCCTTGTAAAATGATGAACAAGCATAATTTTAGGGGGTTTTTAATTGGAAGCATTTATGCCACTAGAGGTCCTTCATGGTCAGATTATGATTTCCTCCACAGAGTTGGGTTTTTTTTCACATTTCTTTATCCATGCTACATGCAGGAATTACTATTTCTAAAGAAATTTGTTTTAATGTAATACATTTTTATGATAACAGAGTGATTTTTCTTTGATTAAGCTTTTTCTGGGAAAACACCAATGTAAGAATTTTTCAAATAGAATTTCTTTAATAAAAGCTCCCATTTTATTATGACATAAAATCTTATTTGTTTTTTAATTCAAGAATTGCACATTTTAACTTTTCTAATTTTTCATCATCCTAGACTCCTCTCCAACATAACCACTTTGCTCTTAGAAAAATAAAGGAAGCAAAGGTCAAACTGAAGAGCAAATTTAGGATAAACAACTGGAACAATAAAACAATATGTAAGGTAGGGTTTTTTCTGCTGCTTCATTACTTTCTTCTTATTTTTCCTAGTTAGAAGCCAGTTAAGAATGTTTGAAAACTATTTGGAAGAACTGTGCAGCCTTGGGAACTTGAATGATAGGACTGAGATTAAATTTATCACTACAGAACACACTGTCACTTACCACAAAACTAGTAACAAAGATTTGTAGTGTAAACTCATAATTTGGAAATTATTAGGAACTAAGGCAAAGAAATGCATGTTGTTCCCAGGATGGCCATGAGTTGAAAAGGCCTAATAGCTGCACAAAGGGCAAGTGTAATCCTAGGATGCATCAGCCGGAATCAAGACAGAGGTTAGACTACACGAAGTCCTGGGGAGACTTCTTCTGAAATATGGTGTATGTACTGGTTACTCCTGTTCAAGAAAAAGTATGCTGAAAGATGCAGAAAGATCTACAGGAGACTGCGGGAGCCTGGCTTGTTAGTCTAGCAAAGGACACTGAGATGGGAAGGGACCACTGAGCGCAAACCCTAGAAGAAGAAAGAAATCTCTTTAAATAAAAGGTCATCTTAGCACAAGAACAAACATGTATATATGAAATATTATTAGGTTTAGGCTGAAAATGAGAAGCCAGTTCCATACTAATATTTGCAATACAGCTGTCTCTATTAGGACCATCAGCGCCTGGAACAAATTTTCCATAGGAGTGGCAGAAACAAGAAAATAACTACCTGGCAGCAGGGCATTAGCCCTGATAGCCAAGAGATTCCTTCCCATTCTGTACCTGTAGAAGAAAAGGATTTGAAGATGAAAGAAATCAGAATTTTCAAATTAAAATATTCTAATATTCTCTAAGATTAGCCATAACAAATTAACCTGAGAAACACCCCAGTAAGCTACTCAATGCAAAAACACACCTTATAGCTGCACTAACATACCCTGGGGTGCAGCGGTGGGTCTGCTGTCTATATCAAGAAGGAAATATGAAGTAGAATGTGTTTCTACATCAAAATCTCAAAAAAGGTATTAATTAAGCAAAAGCAACTGAACGAGGAAGGGTGTAAATTTCAATATGCAAAGAGTTTTATTTAAGATAAAAGATCAAGAATGGAATTTAGGTACTTGATTCCTGTTGAAAATCCCTAGAGCCAACATAAACGGTAAGACAGAGTGGCATTAGGGGGCTGATTAATGTGAAGTTACATGAGTCTTTATGCATCACTACCTCTGCTCTCACACACCACCCTCCCTGTTCATCTGTGATGTGACCCCCTGCTTGGAACTGTACCCAGGCCAAAAAAAAAAATAAAAATGGGGCTTTGCTGCAAACATAGCACCCCCGAGGCTGAAGTAAACTAGTAAAATCTCAAAGGACACTGGCTTTGCCGCCAGTCCAAACACAGCTCCCTCAAGTCTTTAGTCTTCCACCACTGACACCAATGTAGATGACATTGAAAGAGCTCATGGGAAAACTGGAGATTACAGCTTCAAACCATGAGCTGTGTCTCCAAAAGGCAGACATAATAAAGCCCAAGGACCATCAAAACTTGAATCTAATTAGCATGTGTTAATAGCATGATTATTTTTTTTCCAAACACTCATCCCTGAAATTAAGGAAATTGCTCTTAAATCCTCGGACAGATTTCCTTCCCTTAAGAGAATCATATTCTCCCAGTGGTTTCATGGAATAGCATTTTACACCTCCGATTGTATAGCTGCAGCCTACAATAAGACCTCTTCAACGGGCATCTTCTGCTCTTTGCACTAAACAGAATAGTTTTGATATTTTTTTTTCAGTTGATCACCCTGATGACTATGAAAATAATATTTGAAAAGACCCAGCAAATTGCCTAGAGTTTCCTCTATACAGACTGCGGTACAACCCTATCTGAAAGCTTTCTGCGTTATTTAGGAATTATAGCTCCATGAATATTCCCAAAGTTTGGGAAGACTTTATTTTCCAGGGAGAAACTCCTGGCAATATGAGTTTGGTGTGGATCACGTGGGTGCACTTGGCTGCATGTCTGTCAGACTGGGCAAAGCACACAGAATGATTA